GTCAATTATTAATAATTTCTAAAATTAAAATTTACTATTCAAAATATTAAAAAAAAAAACAAACATGGAATCTAGTAATTCTAATACTAATTTAACAGATAAAGAATGTTATTGTTGTAGAGAAGAATTTAATCGTTTTTGTTTATCAATATCAAATTGTACTCAATGTAATCAATTATTATGTTCTGAATGTATTTTAATTCATTGTAAAAAACATGAACAAGAATTTATTCAAATACAAGATCAATATAATGATTTAAAAAATAAAATAAATGAAAAAGAAAAATATATTAATGATACAAGTAATGAATCAATTGAAATAATTATTAATTGGTATCAAAGATTAATTAATGATCTTATTGAAACTCAAACACAAATTATTGAAAATATTCAAAATGAACGTGATAGAGCACGAGATGAATTAGGACAATTTGATATAACTATGCATTCAATTGATAAAGATATAATAGAATTTAATCAAAATATAAATATTAATTCTATAAAAATAAAACTTAATGATTTAACAACAAAACTTTCTAATTATCGTTTAACAAAAGATATTTATCTACCTGATTCACGTACATTCCAACCTCAATATAAAGTTTCCTATCATTTTAAAGATTCATCATCAATAGAAGAAGATTGGGATATTGATACAAATACAGGAACAAATATTCCATTACCTTCTCATCGTTCATTAATGTATACAAATCAAACAACAACAACAACACCATTATTTTTTTCTAATAATTCACAAACATTTATTACTCCAAAAGATGATGATGATGATGAAGATAATTTTCAATGGCTTAAAGAAATTGAAACAAATAATAAAGATGATTCAGAATATTTACTTGATCCAAGATTATATCATCTTGGTACTTCTCGACATTTTAATTATGATATACATTTAATTGCATCAAATGGCAATGATCTTTTGTTAGTAAATTATTAAACAAAAAAAAAACAACATACGAAATATTTCATTTTTGTCTTTTTTTTAGATGTTATTCTCGTCAAACAAAACAATTAATTTTTATTGGTGATGGAAATATGAATCCAATTATACTTCAATGGTATCATGGACATATGATACAACTTGTTTGGTTTGATAATCTAAAATCATTTATAACAATAACAGATGATAGTCAATATGAAATTTATACAATTGAATCAACATATAATTTTCGTTTAAAAATTTCTTTACGTACTTGTTTACCAAACAATAATAATAATAATATAATAAAAGATCAAATATTTATGCGTACAGATGAATATCATATCTATATTTATTATGAAAGAATAAATGGACAAAAACGATTACGTTTATTAAGTTCAACATTTGAATGTATTCGATCATATTCAATTGATAAATTTTTTCAAATTGATGAACATATTCATTCACATGAGAATAGTTCTGTTATAGGTCTTGGTATTAATCAAGAATATGTGAGAAAATTAATATATTATTTAGTTTTTTTTTGTAAATTTATTATTTAGGTTGTTTTATTTGTTCGATTAACAATAGATGATGATTTAGCAGGTATTATCATTTACTAAGATTCTATTTTTTTAAAAATTTTTACTAAAGATTAAAAATATATAATTTTATTATAAACAAAAAGAATATCTTAGTTGCGTTCAGAGGAGGAGTGCTAATTGATCGAAAGGCAAAAGATAGTAAGAAAAAATCTCGAAAGGTAAAATATTGAACATGGAAAATCTCAAAAGTTCATAAAACAATCAATAAGAGTAGATTTCTTCTGAAAATCATCTTCCATTACAACGGCCCTAGCCGAACTCGAATTGCTGATGAGTCACATTTCTTCAAGTGCTGGTTTGAACGTATTTTCGAGCGTGAGCGAGTTTGGGTGTCGGTCTTGATGATAGTAGGGCTTGGATATGAGCTGTTAGTTTATTTTATTTTTTGATTTAAATAAATTATCTTGAGTTTTGTATAGAAAGAGTTAATTTCCATCGATATGTGAATCATACTCATAGTGTGAAATTAGAGATGTAGGGCTATGTTCGGAACTTCTGAAAAAGAAGTTAATAGAGTCGGACCGACAAAAAAAATTTGATCTCGCACATCTCTAGTCTCAATATAAGTTTGGTCTAAAGATACTCAAATAAAGCCTGTTTGACATGAGCTAAATTTGAATCATAAAAGAAGTTAACTTACGAAGAAACCGTGCCAAGTTATTCAGACTTTTTGTGTTGATATTATTCTTATAAGTAGAATCCGGTGTGGCTTGAAAAAGCTAAATAGGATTAGGACTCTTTCTTCTCGAGTTATGAAGTTTATATGTTAGTGCAAAAGTTCTGAATTACTTGAGATGGCTTCTCTTTAGTCCAAAATCTTCTCATTATTAGGAAGTGTAATTTTCTTCGTATATCTTTTAAGCATAAATGTTTCTTCTTTCTGTATTTCAGATCAAGCTGCATCACAAATTGAAGAAACACGTTTAATAGTATTTAATAAATCTAAAATGTGTTTTATTCGTCGAATAAATCTATCGAATAGATATTTTCAATTACCTTTTATTGTTCATTTTATTAATATTTCATCATTTTTTATTATTGATCAAATTTATCATATGCTTCGATTTTTTCATTATGAAAAAGAAATAGGTCAAATTAAATTAATATCTTCAAATATTTCTTCAATATCTAATAGTATAACAACTACAAAATCAAATATAGATTATTCATATTCATCAATAGTATTAATGAACGATGGTTCATTACTGATATCAAATAATACTCAAAATTTAATTCAACTTATTCTTAATGATCAAGCTAATGATATTGATGATTGGTGATTATATTGTGATAACATATTTTGTTGCTTTATTTTTCTTTTTTGTCTTTCCTTATTTCTTTTCTTGTCATTCTAAGAATAAAAAAAAAACAGCATTGCAATATGATTTATGTATTTTTGAAATATAATAAAACAAACAAGAAAATTTTTCTTCAGATGACAACAGTAAAATGTTTACATGAAGATTTACTTTATACAATTCTATCTAAATGTTCATCATCAATAGATATGTGGCATTTTCTTCAAGCACTTGATTATGAATTACCAAGAATGATTCATTTACGTGCATTTTGGAGGTGAACATATTTTTCTGAAAGATATTTATTTCAAATAAATTTCTTTTTTTGTTTTTTTATTTTCTTTTTAAGTCATATTCGATTATCATCATTACATAATAAAAATATTTTATTATCGTTTGTTAAAGAAATTGCTAAATATTGTATAGATCTTCGTATTGATAATCTTAATTGGATGATTGTAGTTGATATACGTCGTTTACTTACAAATTTTCGTTCATTAATTTGTTTTCATACAGGAAATGTTGCATTATCAAAAAGTACATTAATTAATGATATTAAAATATTTTTTCCTTTTTTAAAATATATTACTTTATTAATATCACTTGATAGTTCACAAATATCATCTTTATCTACTGATCAATGTTCAATTACTGATGATACATTTACAGAAATATGTATATCATTAAATGAAATGAATCAACTTGAACATATATCATTAGTATTACAAGATAAAAAAAGTATTTAACAAAAAAAAATTAATTCAATGAAAAACAAATTTATTTGATTATTTTTAGGTGCTTATCTTTCTGATGTAAGTGCAAAAATATATTTTCATTTAGTATGTGAATATATATCTAATATGACAAATCATTATAAACTTATATCCATTGAAGAAAATGGATATGAAATTAAAAATCGATTTTTTTCATTAGATACTACTAATAGACAATCATTGGGATTAATAAATTTATCTTTAATATCAACATTAAATCATTTAATAGTTTCTTTTCGACCGATGTTAAATATAAATTTAACATTAAATATAAAAGATTCAATGATAAATAAATTACAACTTCAAACTTTAGTATTACCATGTATACCATCGACATTAAATTCAATTGATATTCTTGATCTTAATCAATTAAAAATACTTGATATTGGTTATGTAAATGTAAATGATAAAATAGAATTAACACGACTTGATGAAATTCTTATTTGTCATCGTCAGAATTCTCTTCGAAATTTAACTCTTAGTTTAAATGAATGGCAATCAGCAAAACTTGTCATCATATGGAAAAAAGAAAATAATAGTAAACAAATAACAACTTCAACAAAACAATTTAATTCTGTATTTGAAAATTGTTTTGATCAAATCATGACAGAAGAAGAAGATGAAGAAGAAGAAGAAGAAATGAAAAAACCGATTGTGTTAAATTCATCTTCAGATGTCGAACAGGTTAGCTTTTTCATCAGTCATACATTAGATCGATCCGGATTAGAGATGTGCAGGACTAAGTTGTCTTGGTTTCGGTTATGGTCTCAGTGTCTGCGGTTCCGGTTCTGATCCCGTAGATCCCTAATCTCAATTGAAGATAACAAAGAGGTCATTTTTTTAGACCTTGAAGTGTTCTATCGAACTATATATCCTTCTTGTGAATCTTTTTGAAACTAGTTTAATCAATGAATATCTACTATTTGAAGACTGCGTATGTTGACATAGAGGAAGGTGATTCGTGCTACACAGGATTAAAAAAAATGAAAATATTTCTTGCTTATAATTATGTGGCTAATAAAGAAAATGATATTACGTAGGTATGCATCAGTCTCAGTCCGTTACTTTGTATTATAGTAAAGTTATGTCAGAAACATAAGTCAATTCATTAATCGACAGTGTTTCAAAGTTATCGATGTTTTTTTTTTATTTTATATTTTGTTAGTTTCATGAAATTTTGAAATGAAAAAAATGATGATAGAGAACGTAATTATAAGAAACTAGATAAGAACATATCTAAAAACTAATTATAGATATCGAAAGTTTCCAAAATTCTAATATCGACTTCTATTTAGTAACAGCGGCACGTAGAAGTGTAAGTTGATCGACTGAGCAGTCCTCGCCGTCGATTATTGGAGAAAACTTCCAGTTTCTGATAGCCACAACCACCAACAAAGGAAACAAGTTAGGATAAATCCAGCCGCTGATAATGCATTGGCTTACACCTGTAGCTGGACGATTAGAGTGATAACTATACATATCAAAATATAATATGCTCCACTGCTTTTCGAATAGCTTTTGATAGAAACATTATAGAAACCTGCAGTTTTCACCATTCAAGAGAGAAGACCCGAGGTCATTGAAGTATTTCGAAAATTGATTGATCAGCAATTGGCCAATCTGATGAAATCTTGATGGAGATTTTAGAAAATGATATTTTGAAGCTATTTTCCTTAATAGGGCTAATCGGTAGAAAAAATTCCTTTCTTCCAATCTACACAAAGCTGACATTCCTAACTTGTTCTATTCGAAAGTTATAAGAGTTTTTCTGAAATCCCCCAATTTTAGCCGATCGAACTTTGATCATGTGAAAAAGCAGTTAGACAGGAATAATTCACCATACTCAGTCGAATGGTGATATTTGTTTTTGAATTTCAACTGATCCTCCGCAACTGCTTTTCTAGTTGATTCCAAGTCAGTTGTATCTGCTTAGTCAATTACTGACCAATTAAATTTCTATATACTTCAATGAGCCAGCATCATCTCCCTTGAATGGTGAACTTTATGATGTTCCTATGAAAAGTTATTCAAAAAAAATAAACTTTGAAATTTTGAACAATATCATATTATTCTATGTATTTTATTTCTTTGATTAGACATTACCAAATATAATTGATGAATTTTCTCTTGAATTTATTGATGATAGTCAATCATGTTTTTTCCATATACCTCTCAAATATTTCTGGTTAAATAAATTAACTAATCTAAATTTAACTGGTATTCATTGTCATTCAATTGATTTTAAATATATATTCAATTCATTATATTTACTTCGATCATTAAGTCTTTCACCTTGTTTATTACTATATATTAATCAATTTGAATGTTATTGTCAAATAAAATCATCTTCTATTCCATATGAAATTCATTCATTAAATAAAAATCTTCTTTCACTTAATCTTATTTCACATATATCTAATATGAAACAAACATGTTCAATATTTCTTGATCAATATAAATTTCATTGTATTCGTCATTCATCAATTCATCAATATTTAAATAATAATAATGAATTATTATTTCAATATAAAAATTTAATTCATTATTCAATTCAAACTATAATACAAACATTAGATTTACATCATTTAAGTATACGTATACCAAATTATGAATTTTATATTGATGATTTTAATATAGAAAAAATAAATTATTTACAAACATTAATATTTGATATTAAAATTCCAATGACATTTCATGCAAAATTAACAAATCTTTATTCAAAAAATATTTTTCATTATTTACGTCGATTTATTCTTATTAGTAATAATAATTTTCAATTAACACCATTACTTATTGATAAATTTTGTCAACTTGAAATAATTGAAATAATATCAATTAATTCTCATCTTAATCGTTCAACAATAAATTATCTTCAACAAGTACTTAAACCAAATAATTATCCAAATTTAAATTTATTTCGTTTTTGGATTGGTAGTGTTGATGCTAAACATTTATTAAAACATTTACATAAAACTATACGATTAGCATTTGAAAATATAAAACCAGCTTTTCAATTTGATATTTCTATTATTAATCAATTATCAACAATAAATGAACTATCAAAATGTATTTTATATGATAATACACATGAAATTCATCAATATTTTCATTCATTATTATCAATTCATAGTAATCAATTATCAATAATTTATCCGAATTTTTTAAATTATAAACCATTGTATAGTGAACAAAAATTTGATAAATAAATACATAAAAAATCTTTTATATTTCAGCAAATATTTTTATTAGTTAATCTTTCATATATCAAGTATCTTAAACTATTTATTTACAATGTTTACGAACAAAAACTAAATGCTTTTCTATTTTACAACAACGAGAAAGTGTTTGACTACTTTCACTACCGTTGCTATCCTTCTATTTGTAAACTTAACACAAGAAAACTGTGGTGCTTTACATAACAAAAAGAATGAGCGGAAAGTATGAGAAACAAAAAACAAAGAAGAAGAAGAAAGATTTTTATGGGTATAGATGTTTGACAAGTATTAATAATTCCTCTGAGTCAATATAAATAAATGTTAGATTATTTTAAATGTTTTGCATCAGATTATTAATTATAAAGATTATCTTGTTGAAGACCAAGGAGGTTTATTACTATTTTGAGATGGATTCATTGCATAAGACGATGAAGAATAATCATTTATTGATGTTTGTTCATGTTCATATGATGTTGTTGATCTATTTTGAAGAATCATTTGTAAACGTTCTATTGTATTAGATGGTTTTGAATCATATGAATAGGAAAAATTCATTGCTGGTGTAGTTGACATTAATGGTTGAGGTGGTGGAAGATTATTATTCTGATTATCTGAATAATTTTGATAATTCGAAGATATTTCATTATAATATGAAGAGTTAAAACTAAAGAAAATAAATAAATAAATATGTCATTCAATATTAATGAATTCAATAAACGAAACAAAATTGAAATATAACAATACAAAGAAGATATTTTAAATATACTTATTAAAATATAAACTAACTTGAGTCTTTCGAATTTTTCTTTTTTGTTTTCGTTCAATTTTAATTATTATTATTAAAATATGTAAGACTCAAGAAGTTTGTATTTTAACGGTTTCCGTATATGAAGTAAAATGTTAATATATACAGAATTGATACACAACATACACTCATATCAATACCAGTATCTATGTGTTCAAATAGAACGTAATATTGTACAGCGAACTTTTCTAAATAATAAAATAAGAATAATAATGTAAAAAAAAAACTGCACAACTTGTAATCTATCGAATAAGAATCAATTTCTATATATGTAGAAGTTACGGATGTTAATACGAAAGTATTTATGTCGTATTTATTTATTTACATATTGAAACTATTCAACAGATGATTTAGATATCAGAAGATCACAAGTTTAACTCTTTACCCCCCCCCCCCCCGCTCCCCATTGGCAATTGAGATTGCCATATTTAGAAACACCGTAGAAAATTTAGCACCTGAAGTATTAAGAATCTTCTTGCATATTTTCTGTAGGAAGCTCCCTAAGCTACCGATTAGCAAAAAAAAGAATCTTTAATCATGGCTCTATTTCCAAGAGGTAAGACTTACAAAAGAGAAGAATAGACGATTATTTTAAAAAAAAGACGTTTTGTTCTTCTTTTGTTGTTTTTATTTATGAGCAATGTATATCTTGTTGATATTTTATGTGATAAATGTTGCCAAAAGTTGCTGCTGTTGAACAAAATGTATTTCGAAGTTCTCAAAAAGATCAATCGAACATGAGGTTGAACTACATACAATGGTAAGTCCAGTTGCCATTGGGGGGGTGAGGACATAAAAATAGTTTTAGAAATTCTCGTCTAAATGCGGTAATTTTTTGCGTTGACGCACCAATAGATGAACAGACTGCCATTATTTATAAAAGTAAGCATCGAAATTGAACAAGAACATACTCAAACCACGCTCAGATCAACACCAATACTCACGCCGTAATTCTTTTAGATCTTATCATATTTGAAGTTGAAGAATAGCGAATCAATAATTATACTCTTTACTTATCGGTTTAGTTATTTCGAGAAGATCAGAGATTATCTGCATATAAACTTGCTTCAGATACTCATGTGTCGTAGGAAAAAGAAGAATATTTTTTATCTACTATTTTTTTCTTGTTTGTATTGTTAGAATACAATAAAATATGGTATTTTTTGCAAAATCAATAAACTATTTTCAAAAAACTAAAAGAGTGATTTTCATGTCGGTACCCCTCAATGGCAACTGGAGTTGCCAAATCACCCTGTATACATGTAAAGAATCCTGCCCAATCTGATGATACTATTGGCCTACTAAAGATAATAGTACTTCATTTCGCTAATTGTTTTAATAGTGTCTCTTCTGGAACCATTATGGGAGATAAAGAGTTAAATGTATTATCATAAGGAGATAATTCGTGAGGCATCTAGAAATGCATTAAACTCGAAGATTTGAATTTGATCTGATATTTACAAAATAGTTAATTATCAACCGACATATTCTTAATCATATTTACGTGTCCTTATTTCGTTCTTTTTCTTCTCACTATGCCTTTTATAAAGCATTTAGATACAAACAATAGTCTTTTGTCTTGTATCTACTAAACAATCGTTTCTCATGCATATTGTAGCTATTAAACACAATCAAAGGTAAAAGATACAATCTATTCTAACGTTCTCTTTTGCATATTTTGTTTACAAGCATAATAGTTAGCATTGTGCTGAAAGAAATCTCAGAAGTAAAAAGCTACTTTTTCGTACTCAGCTCGAACTCGAACTGTTAGAACAGTTCTCGGACGTAAACAGTACGATTCGAACACTTAGCCAGAGTTTGGTACATGTATAGAAGAATCCCACATGAGAATATGAATAACATAAAAATCTATGATCAACAACATTTTGTTATAACTCGTCTTAATTATAACAAAATATCGGTATATATATAAGAAATTCTAATGTTGATGTCATGATTTTGATTTTTTTTTTAAGTTCAATTGATATGACATAAGAATCAATGAAAACTTCGAAGAAATTCTATTGAAATTTTTTTTGTTTGTTTTCTTACTTTTGATTTGTATTTGTTATAGTTGATCTATCATGATAATCTGTTATGGATTGTGAATAATTCGATGTATTAAATGAATCATACATGAGACTCTTTATTGGAGTAGATCGTGTATTTAAATTAGCAAAACGTGGATGATCAGCAACTGATTGATGATTATAATTAAATCTTTGATGACGTATAGGTTGTGAATGAATTGAAGTTGAATTATTTATATTTCGTTGATGATAATGATAAGATCTATCTGATGAATGTTGATGTTCATAGTTATATTCATTTTGTTGTTGTCGTCGATAACGATTACTAATTGATGATGCACGACTTGATGATGATGATGATGGTGATCGTGTTTTAGATTCTTTTATAGATGAATTACGTGAACTTGTGGATTTTGAACGTGAACGAGAACGTGATGATTGTTTATTCATTTGTATTTGTCGTTTTCTTTCATCAAGATCTTGACGATAATCATGATCATCGATAATTTTAATAGGAGAATCTGTGTCTTAAAAAATCAAGAAAAAAAAATGAATAATTGAACCTTTCGATACTAGTGTATAGAATTCTGTACGCTGTTTTTTTTTCTTCTAAGCTTGTCTATTAATCGAATAGCTTACAAAAGAAAACAAATATCGAGATGTGATGATGTAGCTTTTGTTGTTTGATCTTAGCTCTGCTTGCAAGTGTCTATGTAAAGTGAAGCAAGATGTAAAATGAATGAAATTACTTGCAGTTAGGATGAAGATAAAGTCTTCTTAACAAAATCTTGTCTATGGATATTTTCTCTTCAAATTTTCATTATTATATTTTTACATGATTTTAATGAACATATACTATAAAATATATGGTAGAATGGATGATCATTTTTATTACCTCATTCTTGTCGCGTTATAGTATCCGATATTATTTTTAAGTAAAAATAAGATTCCTTGGACAGTTTATGTAGTTTTTTGGAAGAAGACCTCAAACTTTAAAGATACCCGTGTAGAGAGCTGTGGGTCCTTCCAGATCAGAAACCAGACTCAACCTTTTATTTTTTGGTTGGACACGATTACATGGTTTTGTGGACTTGCTGCTCTTCCGATGAGAAATATAGAAACAAGATATAACTGTACGCTATCTTTTACTTGTTCATATATGTGAAGAGTCCCAGGTATTAATGAAGAAAAACCTCGGGTTTTTAAGTCCGGGTTCATGAAAACGTGGATCTGCAGTTCCCTATATTCATAATAGTAGAGACAAGTTACTGAGACTGGTACCGAAACTACGAAGAAAAAGTTGTCCCAATCTTTACTAAAGATTATAGTTAAATATTCTCTAGGATTGGAACCGGTCTGACAGAGACCGGAATTTCATCGGTTGAAAGTTATGAAAAATTTTTCTTTGTTAAACCTGTTTTTTGCCATAAAAACTAAGGTGTCACATGTTTTTCTGTCAGAATGCGTAAAAAAGTGTTCAAAATATATGTTATTTTAATTATTTGTTCTAAGATTCTCTTTAAAAAGATTTATTATGACGAGTGTCTTTTATATTTGAAGCCATTTTTTCTAAAGATCTCTCTTCGAAAAAAATTCATCATTTTTTCGTCAGTTGGACATGTGGTTCCGGCTCCTGATATTCCTATCAATCAGAGCATAATTTCAAAGAGATGATGCAAATAAATGCTAGTCATCAATCAAATAAATCACGAAGCGAACATTGAAAAATTTTTTAGATGTAATACGAATAAATTCCAGAATATTTTTCTCTAGACCGGGATCGAAATCAATAGAAAAGAGACTACATGGACTAGATCGGAACTATTGCCGGCATCGAAAAGATTTACAATAATCATAAAGTTTCTAGCTATTGTTACCGAGCAATAATACTCTCTCTATAAGAGTTGGAAGACAAAAACAAACAAAAAGAAAACAAACCACTATTTGATGTAATTTTAAGACGTTTAACTGTTGGTTCTTCATCTTGTTTTTCTTGATTCATATTTGTTGTTTCAATTATTATATTATCTTCATCATTTTTTGATACAAGTGTTACTGTTCGTGTTGATGAAAGATTTTTATTTATATTTGATTCATCATTATCATATGAACGTCTACGATGATTAAGAATTTTTGATGGACTTGGTGATTTTATTGTATAAACTTCTTTTGTTAATAATTTAACAAATTCATCACGTGAACGAGTTGAATCATTTTCAATATCCATTGATGAATTTGAATTTATTATTTGTGTTAAATCATTATTCATATTTATTGAATGATTATTATCAATATTATTATTTTCATTAGATGGAAATTCAATTGATTCATTATTTGATTTAAAAACAACATTATCAGTAGTTATATTTGTTATAGATAATGGTAAATCTATTTGTATAGGTTGAACAAGTTCAATATTATTATTATTATTATTTAATTCATCAGATGTTTTATTTGTTTCTATAGATAATGTTTGAGTTATAGGTAAAGATGTAAGAAGTTGATTATAGGTTGATTCATTGACAGATGGTGGTTGTGGTGTTTGTGCTCGAAAACGTTCATCATAATCACATAATCCTTGTGAAGATGGAGATTCAAGATCCATATCAATAACAGTATTGATTGTTTGATCATCCATGACAGCATCTGTAACAAAAAAAAAATGAACACAATCAATTATTTTCAAATTGCAAATATATGAATCTTAAATCTTTCGATAATATGAATTTAAAAATATGTATATATCAATATAATTTGACTAAAGATTTTTTTTTTTTTTTGCATATTTAAATGTCAAAAAATAATATAAGATAAAAAAAAATACATAATTAAATCTGTGATTAACAAATATAAACGATCTTTGAAAAAGAAATTTTCAAATAATAACAATATTTTAATAAGCAATACCCAACTGATATAGATTTCTGAAATGAAGCAAAATTTACTTAATTTGAAATCGATCAATACACAGCACTTAGAAACATGTCATGTAGGTAAACTGCATGTACCAAATTTTTGAATTGGACTTCCAGTTGCAGTCGCTTACCACTAGTGTAGTAAAAGTTGATACTGAAAACATTACTTTGGATGTTGATTAGAACTAAAGGAAAAGCAGCGCTTTCTTTGTCATTTAAAGAAAACGATATTGAATAAGTTAGTCTTTTTGTTTAGTAGAACATTGATGATACGATATTGAAAGATATTATTTAAAAGTATTAATTATAATTATTGAAATTTAAAAATCTTCAATTTTCTACATCTGCAATACAGAAGTTTGTTCAAAATAGAACAAACAACTATGATTGAATTCAGATATAATATTACGAATAAATTTTTTTGTATATTTATGATTATTCCTAATGATTTTTTCATATTTCTCACTGAGATATATCTAGGAAAAACATTGTTTCTATACGAACAATGATAAATTCTATGTATTTCAAAGACTTTAATATAGTACGTTTCGTTTCTATTTCGATTATATCTTAATATACAAGATATCATGAACTACACTAACAAAAACTTGACAATAATTGAAATGTCAATGTTTTGTAGAGTATTATTTAATGTTTCGTCTAAGTAGTGAAAGAATTGATTCGGACAAAATTTTATTTATCTTTTCTAATACATTGAAAATGTAAAAAAAAATTCATTTGATATAATTTGTTTTCCTAAATCCTACCTTCAATTACTTTATCTTGAATATTGTTTGATGTAGTTTGTTTATTTTCCAAACCATATTTATCAACAAAAACTCCAATAAGTTCAGCTAAAAGACGTTTTACATTAGGTCGATTTTCATGTTGATATTCATAACAAAAAAAATCTAATAATTCTAATGATATTTGTTGATTTGATGATGATGATGATGATGATGATGATGATGACGATGTTGTTATTATTTGATGTTCTTTTAATACTTTTCGACCGAGATTAATATAAGTTCTAGAATTTGCTAATTGATTTTTTTTTTGTTGATTAAAATATTCTTGAATTTTTCTTTGTCGTTTTTCTCTTAAATGTAAACGTATTTCTTGAGAATTTAATTGTTTTTCATATTGAATTAATTGATTTGATATATTTATTTGTTCATATGCTAATTTATTATCATTTTCTTCTAAATCAATATATAATTTATTATTTGGTTTTTTTAAACCAAAATGAAAACAATCAATAACTGATACAAATAATGATGAATAATCTGAATAAGATGACTGATTTGATACTTTATTATTATTATTATTTGTTTCATATTCATCTGATGACATTGAACGTATAAGAAATGGTATAAGTGTATAATTTGTTTTAGGTTTTGTATTATTTTTTGAATTATAATAATAATTATTAAGACGTTTTTGTTGTTGTAATGCATGTTTAACAGCTTTTAATTCAAGATAAAAAATATTTTGTTTTGATTTATAAGTTTGTAAACGTGGATCAATTAATTCTGTTATTGAATTTAATGGAATATTAATTAAAGAATTTTTTTTTATATTATTTATTGATTTTAATGATGATCCATCTAATTGTGATCGTTCATTTATTGGATGTTGAGGTGATAATGGAATTATTTCCGATGAAATAACTGTTCGTATTAAACGAGGATCACGATAATTAGTTAATGGTTGTAAATTACTAAATGATGATAATGGTAACATAAGTTGACTAGGATATTTATTTGATATAGTTGATGTTATTGAAGTATTTGTTGATTCTTGTGTAAGATCATCCCAAGTACCAGTATTTAATGTTGAGATTGGTTTTGGTATAGATTTTATAGATGATTTATTTTGATTTGAATTTTTTAATTTGATTGGTTTATCATTATTCTGTTGAGATTCTTGAGATGTTGATGTTAATTTAGATGAGAATTTTTCTTTAAGATCATACCATAGGATTGCAAGAGGTAAGATTTGAGATGGACGTGAAAGAGTTTTTAAATCTTCATGTTCATAACAGAATATCTTTCAAGAAAAAAAAATAAAATAAAATGAAGATTAGTTTAAGAATTACATAAGATATATGTTACTATAGAATTGAAAGATTTATTTTACTTTAATACTTACTAAACTATTTGCTAATAAATCATCAATATGACGTTGTTCTTTATTTAACGATTGAACTTTACAAAAATGATGATCATAATGTAATTGTGCAGATAATTGTTTATTATTTATTGAAGGTATAGTTGCATATCCTTTACCCAAAATTATCTAAAAGAAAAAACAATAAATATTTTCAATTAAAATTTTTTCATCGATTTTCTTACTTTACAAATTAATAATCCAAATTTATGAAGTCCTTGTATACCAGATGATGCTAAAAGAACATCTGGTCGTCGTGATAAATGTATACCATCTTTAGGATTTCCTTTTTTTTTTTCAAATGAAGAAAAAGAAAACATCAAATAGAAATTATCAATATATATAATAAACTTACCAAGATATTTATCAAGTGAAAAAGATAATTGTTCACATGTAATACCATCAGTTGCTATATTTAGTGCTATATCTCGCGATGTAATTAAATGAAAAGCAAAACGTTCTGTTGGATCTTGATCTTTTTTCATCTGAGTTTTTCTTTCACTAAATTATTTTTTGAATAGATTATTTTCATATATATATTTTTTTTTAATACTTATATAATTTTTGTAATTTTTGATTACGTATTGTTTCACATGATTTACATTCATTTTGTCGAAAATCAAAATGTGCTTCTAATGAACAAGATTTTATATCATCAAATAATTCTGTTACATTACGACTATCAGTTTTTTCTGTTATTAAAACATCTTTAAGAAATGATAATAATAAAAAAAAAACAAATATTTTTGATTTTAACAAATTTCTTTCTACCTTTATTTGATGTACGAGTTTTTGGTATAACAAATGTTTTTTTACCATCTCGATCTTCCATTCTAAAACTAAAATAAAAATAAATCAAACAAAATTTTGAATAAAAATTTTAAAGTTTTGTTTTTTTGCTTTTATTGAAAGAATATTTATTATTTGAAAAATAAAATGAGAATATACATTCGATTTTTAGTTTTAACATAAATATATATGTTAAATCATAATAAATAGTTTTTTTTTTCTATGCTTAAATAGTGTTCATAGATTGTGTCAATCTCCAAATTATTATATCAAAGATCGGTTTCATATGCATATAAATAAAAAACCTAAAATTATATAATCATGAGTTTGTACAATACATACTTCCTTGGATATTTATCTGAATAAGAATAATAAATAGAAACAATGGTTCTGAATCATATTTCTTTATTGTTGATTCATGGATTCATTAAATTTTATTTGTTTTTCTTTGATAAATAAAACTGTTACTTTACATAGGATATTTTATTTTTGTTGAAAATCATTTATCGTATTTCTTAAACAAAGAATTCAAATAGTTGTTGAATTTAATTGGTATGAAATATATTGTATCGAGGTTATCTAAAAATTGTATTCATATGATTCATCATCATTATAAGTGATATTAACCTAGATAAAATTATTAAACGATTAAATATCATAAGAAAAAAAAAACTAAATAAAATGGTTTATTATGAATCGAAGGAACGACTGTCAAGGCTTTTATTAGTGACAACTATCGCAAAGAATAAAATGATTGGTTAT